CTGAACAGGAACTATTTGAAGGAACAGGAACTATTTATAGCAACCACAGGGAATGCTGGAGTCAGCTGAGTACAGCCGGGGCTCCTTGTCCTTGCTCTCCAGCGCCCCCCTCAATCCACTGGGGTTGTCTCGTAAAAATGTGCAAGTTTTGTAAAAATGTGCAAGTTGCCAGCCTCAGGGCATAACTCCTCAGACACTGGTTCTATTAAATACACCCCCAGGTGGAACAAAACAGTTGTGCAGGAGTGGGTAGTGGAATCCCCATGCAGAATACTATTGACATCGAAGTCTTGGCTGCACGAAATATGCCATCTGAATTCAATCATGGGATTATTTCCAAAAACATTTCCCAAAGTTGCTATACACAGACAACTGCTTCTTAGTAAATGCAAAAGGCGTATTTTCTCGTAAAGTTGGAACACGGAGTCTCTTGATGGTGACAGTGGGTGTTTCTAGTTTGATTACATATCGGAAGCATTTCTAGCAGGGGCCTCAGACAGGTCTCCGATGCTGAGAACATGAAGGTGCTGCATGTCTCCTCTTCATCTCCCACTTTCCCAGTTCTCTAGACATCAAATGAAGCTATGCAGAGAAAACATAAGCCCCACAAGGGCATGAATTTGAAAGTATGTGTGTGTTTGTTGGTGGCAGGTAGTGGAGGCTGAGATGATGGAGGAGGGGGGATGGGAGTGACTATCCCTCATCAAATTTAGTGGGTAACTGACTTGGCAAGTACAGTTATGAAATCTTTCTTGTGTATTAAAGAAGTCACCCTGATCCTTTATTGTTTGTTTCTTGTCTCCATTCCCCTTTCTCTTTGAAAAACAAAACACTCAGAAAAAATATAGAGACTAGGCTGGGCACGGTGGCTCAAGCCTGTAATCCCAGCACTTTGGGAGGCCGAGGCAGGTGGATCACGAGGTCAAGAGATCGAGACCATCCTGGTCAACATGGTGAAACCCCGTCTCTATTAAAATTACAAAAAATTAGCTGGGCATGGTGGCGCGTGCCTGTAATCCCAGCTACTCAGGAGGCTGAGGCAGGAGAATTGCCTGAACCCGGGAGGTGGAAGTTGCGGTGAGCCAAGATCGCGCCATTGCACTCCAGCCTGGGTAACAAGAGCGAAACTCAGTCTCAAAAAAAAAAAAAAAAAATAGAGGCTAATAAAACACATGCCTTGAAACGACCAGGTGTTATCCTTTTGTCATACTGTCTTCAGATTTTTCTATCATGAAGTAAATGCAAATGACTGATAGTTACATGCCTTTTGTTCTCCCTGATCCTGTTCACTTTCTCCCTCCCTTCAGGTAAGGACCATCATGAAGTTCATGCTTCACTTTCTAATTCTTTTAGCACACAACCACATTCATAAACAATGTCTGAATTATTGTTTTGTGTGAGTTGATATCATTAGTACTTATTCAGCTTACTTTATTCACTCAGCCAGAGACAGGTCCTGAGGGTTGCATTCAAACAGGCCACTATGATGATAGCTCCCTTGGGAGTGTGCAGGATGGCAGCCTGCACTACAGATTCTGTTTTTGCGATCTATGTTGATGCATGATAATATTGCATTAATTTTAATTACCTGATAGCTTTCATCAGGTGGCTGGGCCACATTTCATTTGTGGAAGACAACATTTTGCTATTGCAAACAGTGTTTCCGGGAACATTCTTACGCATGTCAGCAAATGTACAGGTGCACACATTTCCCTGGGAATCATCATTCTCTGTTTAACTATGATTTAAAAAAATGATTTTACTGAATATTGTAATAAGAAAAAGACAAACTTCATAAAACTTAAAATATTTATTAGTATGAATCAGTGTGTGTTAAACCAAAAATAACAGATACAGTTGGGCATTGTTGAAGGAAATGCTCTACTACAGAATAGGATACATGGCGGAAAGGTCCTAGCTGACCGAAGCGGTGTCTTGTGTGTGCAAGAACTGGGTCCAGCCCAGACAGAAGCGCTTTGCAAAAACGCGAGAAAAGGAAGCAGTCTGCACAACAGAACAGCGCCATTGGATTATGGGGTCTGGTTTCAACAATTTTAAGACAGTAAGCTAGATAACAAATAGGTCTGAATACAGCTCAGAACCCTTTAGTTTATAAGCTAGCTCACCATTCAACTTGCCAATGAGCATTGCAGAACAATGAGAACTGAAGCTTACATAAAAAAGTTCCGTTTCAGCCGTCACATGCCAAGGTCCTTGACTGTAGAGGTAATATTTCAGCCATCCAAACCTTTCTCAGAAAATGAACTCAGTTTTCATTGGGGCACAGCCTTTACTGTTGGTTAAAAGTTAGTTTCGGCTCTTCAACCTTTTAGTCTGCAAGGTAATGTCATACTCAACAGCCTAATGTGCCATTTTAAAGCATAAAATGGCAAGTCAATTATGTGACAATGTAAAATGCTTGCACAACTCCACTGCCATTCTCAGAGATTTCCACTGGGAAACCAGGCCTCTGAGAAGCCATGCCTACCTTATATTAATGTATGGCTAGAGGCCAAACTCAACAAGTGAAATGGATTACATGTTGGAAAAACACATACACAGTCATATTTACACAGACACACACTCATGCCACACATGAAAGAAAAAAAAGGGAGAAGGAACAAATTTTGGAAAATGTTACATGAAACACCACATGAAACTACATGACTTTTTTTTAGCAACAGCAATTTCCAGGCCTTTACATAATATTATGTGGTTATGGTTCATTATTAGACAGCTAGGAAGTAATCCCAAGACAAAACAAAGGAAGGTTGTAATGCCTCATTGCGGACAAGGCCTGAGCATCCACAGAGAAGATTCAATGTTTACGTGAATACCAGTGTGCCCAAGTGTGATCTACTTTCTTCACCGACTGCTCTGAGTGGTGATCAGAATATATGTATATTGTCATCCGACTGGCTTGAATAGCTAAGTCAATACAGAAAGGTAACTGTGGTTTTACACCTTCATGTGCTTCTGAAATAAAACAATGGGCTCATTAATGGGTAGCTCACTACGTGTGGCTAAGACTAGACATTTTATGCAAAATACAACCACTGCAAACCCAGCCCAAAGCTACAAAACTCTCAGCTAGGATACTTATCCCTCAGCTCAAAACCTGATCTGCTGTCTAGAGATAAATCCAGGTTCTCAGGGAAAACTAAATGAAGAAAGGTTACAAATTAAGCCTACATGTCAGCTGGAAAGAGGTCACTTTAATTTTCAACTCAATTTTTTTTTACCTTTGGCAAGAGGTATGATCATTTCTTGGCCTGCAAGCACCATCATGCCAACCATTAATGTGGACATGTGGAAATAACCTGAAAAATTCCTGCAAAGGCCCTGTCAAGACATCCAAATGCCACTTGCTAAGTTTTTGAGGTACCTGTTTGGGAGAGCCAAATGTAACTCTTGAAGCAAAATAACTGTTTTACAGCCTTCATATCCTAAGACTGTCAATGAACTCTCTTGAGTGAAGCAGAAGTGTGCTGATTACTGAAGTGCCAGGTCTTTTTTTTTTTTTTTGAGATGGAGTATTGCTCTGTTGCCCAGGCTGGAGTGCAATGGTGTGATCTTGGCTCACTGCAACCTCTGCCTCCTGGGTGCAAGCAATTCTCCTGTCTCAGCCTCCTGAGTAGCTGGGACTACAGGCACCCAACACCACACAGCTAATTTTTGTATTTTTAGAAGAGATGGGGTTTCAGCATGGTGGTCAGGCTGGTCTCAAAGCCTGACCTCATGATCTGCCCGCATGGGCCTTCCAAAGTGCTGGGATTACAGGCATGAGCCACCTTGAATCTAATCAGCTCACGATCTCTTTCCTGACTTTTGCATTATAGATTGTCTATAAGGGTTAGCTGTCCCTCGAATGCTCATGGCAAAGAAGATACCAGCTGGCCCTGGTTAGCACACAGCATGATTAACCATTTCTGAGCACCAATCCTAATGTCCTTTAAGAATCACCCCCTAATATAAGCCCTGGCAGGAAATCAACTGTTTCTTGATCCCAACATTTTATGTAAGTTAGAATGGTAATAGAATTTGAATTTTCAATAGGAATCACTTTTTTTCCTTTCCAAGCTTTTTATTCCTTGACTTCCTTTGGATTCAAAGATCTTTAATTAACTGAGCAGATAGGGAATCTGAAAAGGAAGGTTTTCATCGAAGCCCATTCTCAGTTCCTTGGCATTCCAGGGTCAGACCTCTGGTTAGCCCTAAAACCTTCACTCCAAGCTAGAAACATAAAAATACTTTCTCTGATTTTGTAGTTTTTGGGGGTCTAGAATTTTAAGGTACTGATACTTCCTCTGGTTGGCTTTCCTATAACCCATTATTAATTGCTATTAATAGAAGTTTGCCCTATGATTTAGATTCAAACATTAAACTTAATTCCAGTTAATTCTCTTCCCTTAGAGATGACACTAAGAGATACTCTCTTAGTAAAATTATACTATGTGCATTAAACTTCTCTAAGAGAGGAGAAATGTACTCCTGCAGAAGAGACGCATATCAGGTGGTCTCTTGAATAACGTGTATATCCTGCATCTCTCACCACTTACATAGTGATTACTTAAATTGCTCTTTCAAACTAGGCCTCCCAGTCCCAAAATTATATGCAATAATTTAGTCTGATTTGGTTTGTTTGGGTATATATGACCATAACTTAGAAAAATGTTCACCGATTAAAAGAGGTGTAGACAACAGTTTCTAATACACTTTTCCTGGCTTCTATAATAGCTCAAGTCAGTCTGAGTGATGGTCCATTGACACTTCTCCCTTTCCCTCAGAAAAGTAATAAATAAAGGCTTACTTCCAAAGCTAGCTAAAAACTAACCTCCTGAATTAAATTTGCCTTTCAGTGAAGGTTGGTTAGGCAACAAAGGCAATGGCACTGAAGAAGTTACCGGAATTTGGATAGCTAGCACAGGAAATCCGAGTGGAACTCCACTTTAGTATCCCATACACATAATAAGGCAGTAAGACTTTTGTAGACATCCAAGAATTTTTAAAGGTTTTTTTTAGCAAAAATGCAACTACATCCCTTCCATGTGCATTTCATGCACTAAAGGCCATTTTGTGATGGTGTGGTGGGTTTCTCCAGGGTTTTCTAAAATCCTTTTTCAGGGACATTTTCTGCCCCACCCCCTGCAGGTCCTCCAGGATGCAAAGCCAGCGTGCTCATTCTTCTCAAAGTGAGGTGCCAGGACACTGAGCGTAGGGTCCGTCAGCAGCACACAGGGATGTGGGCTCTGGCTTCTTCAAGTACCATGGACCATGGCCCTTGGGTCAACAGCACCGGCGGCTGGCTTGCGTAGTTGGCTTCACAAGTTTGATTGCTCCATTGTTTCCATTTTCATGGGGGTCCAAGGGCGGGATCTGGCGGCCTGGAACAAAAAGAAAGCTAAGGGTGAGTTCCCTTTCCCCCAGCCAACACTGCACACAGATTTTCACCCTGCTTCAACACCCCTGCTTAATGTTTGTGTTGTGCAGAAAATAAAGGCGATCCCGGAGGGGCTTTCTCCTTCCTTCCTTCCCTTCTTCCTTCCTTCCCTCCTTCCTTCCTTTCTTCCTTCCTTTTTTCCTTCCTTCCTTCCTTTCCTCTCTCCCTCCCTCCCTTCCTTCCTTCTTTCCTCCCTCCCTTCCTTCTTTCCATCCTTTCCTCCCTAGCTCTGCTGCATGAAGCCCAATTCGTGGCTTAGGAAGTTCAGGTAAGGAACAGTCCAGCAGCTCCCTGGTAGTGTGGATTTCCTGGGCTAGGAAGATCGGCTCCTGGGGGCAGTTCCCACCCACCCTCCACTTATCAATGCATCCCTCCCTCCCTACCTTCCCACAGACCCATCCTGATTTAATGAGCGGCTTTCATGGTACCGTGACTTCAACAGTAACAGTGAGTACTCATCCATCTTTTCTGCTTCTCAAAATAGAAACGGATTTGAATTGTAATCTTCCTAGCAGTGTCATTTATTAACACTTAGCTCATCATCCCTCATCCTGCCAATGCACTTAGATCATTGACTGGAAAGCCCTGCAGAGACATTCTTCATAGGAAACAGTATTTTAATGTCATCCACAAGTAATTTTATTTTTACTTAACTTAATTTAAAAAATTATGCGAGAGTCTCTATAAATAAACATAAAATAAAAATTAAACAGGCAATGGAAGGGGCCAGGGCGATGATAGCTAAAGGGTATGGGCTTTTTTATGAGGTGATTAAAATATTCTAAAATTGACTGTGCTGATGGCTGCACAGATCTATGAATATACCAACACCACTGAATTGTACACTTGAAATGGGTGAAATGTACAGTATATGAATTTTATCTCAATAAAGCTGTTTTTTGAAAAAAGGCAAAGGAATCTGGAAATAACCTTAGTAGATCCCAGTTTTCAAAGATTTTCACAAACACCATCCTCATCTCGCCTTACAAATTTGGTGTAATCGTCGTTATTATCACCATTTCATTATGACTTGAGAATCTGAGCGCGTCGCTGAAGGTCCCATCAATAATAGGTAGTAGTACAGCTGGTGCTTTGATTATAATCTACATCTTCATTTCCTGATGGGTTCCAAGGCCTGTGCTCTTCCCATTGAACTACATTAGCTTTCTCTGCTACTTTTCTATCCCCCTTGACAAAGGCAAGAAAGACTAAAATGTGGATTTTGTTTTCTTCTTGAGACAGGGTCTCACTCTGTTGCCCGGGCTGAAGTGCAGTGGCTTGATCATGGCTTACTGCAACATTGAATCCCAGGGTTAAAGGGATCCTTCCACCTCAACCTTCTGAGTAGCTGAGACTACAGGTATGTACCACCATGCCCCGAAATATATATATACATACACACACACACACACACACACACACACACACACAGACACCACACACACACACAAAGAAAGCCAAGGGTGAGTTCCCTTTCCTTCAATCAACACTGCACACACAGATTTTCACCCTGCTTCAACACCCCTGCTTAACATTTGGGTGCTTAATATATATATATATATATATATATATATATATATATATATATATATATAGTAGAGACAGGGTCTTGCTATGTTGCCCAGGCTGGTCTCAAACTCGATCCTCTCACCTTGGTCTCCTAAAGTGCTGGAATTACAGGTATGAACCACCATGCCTAGCCTAAAATGAGTATTTTTTATTTTTTATTTTTTTTACTGGCTAGTTAGTGTATTCATTTGCTAAGAAACCAGTACTTAGAAGTAGAAGAGAAATTTGTTCTAAAGACAAAGTCTTTTAATGCAAGTGGATGTTACCTAATGACCATATGAGAGCCAAAACACTCCAGCAGAGATGCATTTCCACAAGGGACATCAAGAGTTTACTTCAAAGGTAATAATACATTGTGTAGATTAGATAGTATGGACATTCACCAAAGCTTCAGCATCAAGATTAAGGGCACCAGCATTTAACGCCAAATTCCAAAGTAATAGTAGAGATCTTCATCTGACGATGAAGTGAATGAAAAGTTTGCAACAATTTCTGCAGCTGTGGCTTTTGCCATTTTGTGTAGCCAACAGAGATCTACAGAGCTCTTGCAGGCTGTCCCCAAAACACTTAACAAATGAGACAGTAAGTATAAATTTCCCTTTTCTGGACATACTATTTTTTAAAATTTATCACAATTAAAAGGGAGTAAATAAAATGCCTCTTCTATTTTGTCAACCTTAGGTGATGGAGGAGGAAGTCTCCAATGACTACCAGTAGTCTAAAGATCCAGCCAAGTCAGATCTTGCCAATAAAGAGTTACTTACTCCAAAAGGATGACAGTGTCAAGTTACATCATTACTGAAGTTAATAATATTTCAGGAGCCTCCTGAGTGTGTTACACACTGCAAACAGGACTTTGGCTTTTGCACCTGAAATATTTTTGGACAGTACTATAATTCTGCTGGGTACAGCTGTTGCCCTAGTTAGCCAAGAGCCAAGAGCTGTTTACTTATCAGCACACGGAGTTGAAATTTTAGCATTTTTTGCAGTATCAAAATCAACATCCTATACTAACATCAGCTTTGTGGTGTCCTTACGTTAACTCTAATGTGAGCAAAACAGCATTAGCTTTTTAGTCCTCTGTGACTTTACATGCCTCATGCCTTCTTTTCATAAGTTGTTTGCTTTGGAAAGTACACAAATTAAAGAAAAAGTTCATATGTAAGACAGTTATTGAAGTGACAAAAGTGTAGTGAAAATCTAGAAACAAAGAGCCTGCAGATAGTAAAATAGGATGCCAGGAAGTCCTGTCAACACCCTTCCTCGCTTTCCGCCACCTCCTCCCTCTTTGCCGCCTCTCAGTTCTCTCTCCAGTCAACAATGAGCACAGATGCACAGGATGCAAAATTGAGGGAGGCCTGGCTCTGTCTCAAGGAGACTCCCCTCCTGCATGTTTTGAACTCTTAGCAGCATTCCTGAATCAGCTGTTGAACCTGGCTTTTTAGGAGTACCAGGTTATTTTATCTTCAGAATATTCAAAATTTCACTTATTAAAGTAAAATATTTCTCAGACTTCAGCTTTCTCCTTTGGTAGAAAGAGTTTTGAGATGGGACACTCAGCATTCCAGTTCAGTGAGCTTGGACCAGTTATTTAAAGCCTGCAAGCCTGCCTTTCCTCACCTGCGGAAGGGATGTGGGAGAACACCACACATGGCCGTCACTAACGGGAGGAATCGACGACGACGGAGGGAGTCCCCAGCAGTCGAGGACTTCTGGGCACGGCTCATGAGTTTTGCATGGGGTGGGGGAAGAAATGCTGTGTGATTCATGGTCACAGTTGATTCTCAGGGTTTAGTTAGTGAACCGGGACCCACCCTGCTTGTCTACAAAACTCTCAGCCTGTGATGAGTCATGCACATGCCAACTTCAAACAGAGGGAGGGAGAAGGAAATGCTTTCATGCAGACAGAGGGAAGCCAGATCATACCAATGAGGCTAGCACCTTTAAAAGGAGAAGGGGGCCTGCACCAGGAAACCAGAACGCAAACCTCCATCTTAGGGCCTAAGGTATTCAGAACTTACCGAAGATTCAAGGCACTTACACAAAGAAACGGTTTCGGAAAATGGCCATGGCATTCTGTACCAAGGTGATCACCTTGGAACACTGTTGAATCGGTATTATTTACACGAGCATAGAGCAGGACAAAAATATATGCACAAACATCTGAAAAGGCTCTGAACCTCGTCTGTAGGTTTCCACTCTTACAAAATGTGCTCTAAGTACTCAGCCTCCAGAACAAGTTGTCCTTGAGCATAAATTCAAGGCCAGAGTGTTTATTTTAATATGGTTTGGACTGTGTAAGATGCCGTCTAGGAGAAGTTTAAAAGATTTGTTTTTTTTTTAAGTTCAGTTTTCCTGAAGGTTGACAGTGTAGAGGAAAAGCAGGTTTTAGAAATGATTCCATAGGAACACAGTATGTGAAAACCAATTCCTAGCCTATAAATTTTATCATGGCTCTGCATCGGAGGTGCAATGCATTTACACACAACAAAAATAAAACAGTGAGCTTAGCTGGGGCTGTTCCCTTTCCCTGTGTGATAAACCAGCCATTTCCTGTGTGAGCACCAATTCCCCCGTAACATTCTGCTGTATGTGATTCTTTGCTCTTTTCATTCCAGTTCCTGTATTAGTTGGCTTGACTACCTTTTGTTTGGTGTTAGCAATGCTGGCAGTTGCTGTGTAACATCCATTTCTTGATCGGATTTTCTGAATCATCCAGATGAGTAACCTGACCAAGTTTGCTAGGACTTGGCAGTATTTACTCTTGATAATGACTTCTAGCCTCTAGCCATGTAGAGAGGGGGGTCTCTGGAACACAGCAATGACTCACTACCATGGAACACCACCCTAACAGTGCAAAACTGGGGACAAACACACGCTACTTGAAGTTATTCTCTAGCACTGTCCTCTTGCTGCCATAAAGAAGACAATATTAGGATTACTAGAAGGCCCTGAATATTAGGATAAAGAGGAACGCGCTACAAGCTATAAAGGACCGGAACGGATGCTCAGGTAGGAAGTGCATTGGGTCAGGAGGCCTGGAAAGCTCAGGTCAAGGATTAGGTCAGCCTTGAGTGTGCCATGGGGAAGCAGGAAGCACAGATGGAAAGAGAAACTGTGGAAGATGCTCAGCAGGAGGTGACAACTGCCTGGAGGCAGAGAGTCGAGACAGAGACCAAAAAACCTGAAGTTCAAAGTCTAGGGAGGTAAAGAAGCGGCGATGCACCTACACAAGGGAAGTCAGGAGAGGCCACCATTGGTCTAAAATGTTGAGGTGTCCAACACAGAGGGACTTAAGCTACCTTAAAATCATTAGGCTTCCCCTATCATTCTCAGCAAACTAACACAGGAACAGAAAACCAAGCACCACGTGTT